CCTTCCTTCCTTCCTTCCTTCCTTCCTTCCTTCCTTCCTTTCTTTATTGCCTATAGCACCTGGTCTTCCTAGGTGGTCTCTCATCCAAGTACTAAGCAGGCCTGACCCTGTTTAGCTTCTGAGATCAGACGGCATCAGGCTTGTTCAGGGTAGCATGGCTGTAGACCCACACCTCCATTACTTTCTAAGCATTTTCCTTAACCCCTCTGAGCCTCAGTTTCCGCATCTGCAAAATGGAGAAAATAATGAACTTACAATGAGTATTTTTGAAGATTTATTATAATTGTTCATTAAGCAGCTGGCGTGTGGTTCATGTTCAGTACAACAACAAACATTTATTGGGTACCTTATAGGTACCAGTCATTGTGCTGGGCAGTGAGAGGCCTGGAAATGAAGAGGACTTTCTTCTATCCGCCACTGCTGTATCCCCATGCTTAGACCCATGCTTTGCCCATAGTAGATGTTCAATAAATGTATGTTGAATGAATGAATGACTTTGGGAGCTCATATTTTAGTGAGAGAGATGCACATGGCACATGCCGATGATTTAATATAATATGGTAGATAATAACTGGAGGCCAAATCAGTGCATGTATTAACGGAGCCCTTCCTGGACTACAAGAAAGAGCTTTCTGGATTTGATGTGCTGAGTGGAGTTTTGAAGTATGTGTATGAATCAGTCAGGAAAAGCAAGGAGTGAAAGGTTTCTGAATCTATAGGGTTTCTGAATCTGAAGCTTTAGGGAGGACCACTGGAGGCACCCACAAAAGTGCCTCCCATGGCTCACAGAGTCCTCTCTCAAACCAGGACTGTCCTGTGCTTGGGCTTTCTCCTTCCTATCAGAGCCTGAGACTCCTTTGAGAGCAAGCATTTATTGAGCACTTACTATGGCCAGGCACCCTTGTCAACGTTTCCACGGATGAACTCATTGAGTTCTCTTGACAAACCTGTGAGGGCAGAACTGTCATTAACCCCATGTCCTTGATGAAGAAACTGAGGCTCAGAGAAGTGAAGTCCTCCCCACCCCCTACCAAGATCACAGGTCAGGGTTGACACTCACCAGCCTGGCTTCAAGCACTTAGCTACCACATTGCTTCTCTTTTGGTTTCATGACTAAATCACTCCAGTCTCATGGTGACATATAGCAGTTCTCACTGTGCCATGGTTTTCATGACTATCGTCTCTGGACTGATAGATCAGGGCAGTGAAGCAGGCCCACTGAGCCCTGGGCAATGACTACGAGAGGGGTGGGTGCAAAGAACAGTCCCTGAGTCACCCAACCTTGGCCCTAGGCTGGCCCCATTCTGTCCTCTCCCAGGGACTTTGCACCCTGCGGGCCCCATCCGAGGAGGAAGGAGAGTTGACAAGCTTACCCGCTTCTCGTTGGTCTCGTTAGACGAGTTGTTCACATTAACCCCACAGGCCACGTCAGGCCTGGGGAAGGTTTCTGACCAGCCGCTCTGTGTGCAGTTTCGAAACATGGAACCTGTGGGGGCCAAGAGTCCTGTGGGTGAGCCATGGGGACCAGAGAAAGATGGCTGGGTCTCCTGAGTGCCCTTGGCCATGCCTTAGGAGCAGCCTGGAGCTTCCTTCTGTCACTCTGTCCCCAGCTGCCTTTCTCTGAACCACTCAGTTAGCTCCCAATTGGCCCAGCTGATCTCTGAAGAATATATGTCAGTCAGTCAGAAAAAGTGATGAGAAAGGTATGTAGGCAAGTGGGCCGAGAAGGGGCAAAGACCTAGGATGGGTGTGTGTGTGTGTGTGTGTGTGTGTGTGTGTGTGTGTGTGTGTATGAGAGAGAGAGAGAGAGAGAGAGAGCGCGCGTGCGAGCGCAGCTGATCCTTGACACCTCGATCTACAAACCAGACTGGCCCTGAACAAACACCCCATCTCAGCCCCCAATCACTGCTTGTTTTGCTCCCACTGCCTCACCAACACTTTCACATCCCACTGTGACAAGCACCAGGGCTCCATAGACAAGGGAGGCTGGTTGACTCATGTCGCAGTATTCAATAGTCCCCAAATCCCTTCTCAACCAGACCCCAGGCCCCAAATAGCCAGGCCACTGCAGAACTTCCAATGTCACTGATCCCCACTTCAGCTTGCTGCCCTTAGGGGCCCAGCCCCAATCCAGGGCCCTCTTAGACCCTTGTGCCACTGCAACTTCATCCTGGGCCTGACCACTCCCACCTGGGCCTGACCACTCCCTCCTAAGCTCCAAACTCAGCTCCAAAGTCCCTCAGTGCTCTGAGAGGGACTTCCCCTCCCCAAGCCCCACCTCCACTGGCTGCCGTGCCACTTTAGGCACCTCCAGCACAGAACTATCCTGTGCCCTCACACAGTGCCAATGTCTTTTCTCCCTCCCTCAGCAGATGACGAGTTACTGAGGGCTCTCCATGGCCTGCCCAGAGTCCTTGCTCATCAAACATTTTCTGACTGGCTGATTGGCTAGAAAAGCAAAGGAATAGGGATAAAGAGCCCACCCTAAGTTCTTCTGTGGAGAAGAGTGGAGAGCCTGACCACAGGGAGATTTTAGAGCAGGAGAAGTAGAGCCACCAGTCAAGAAGGGAGTCTTGAAAAGCTGCCAAGAGGAGTTTCCCTTCTTGGAATGAGTTGCCTAGTTGCGTCCTCTACTCTGGGCTGCCAAGGAGGGCCAAATTCTGGTGCGGGCGCTGCAAGGGTGAGGGAGCTGATTACAGCCCTGTAATAAGAGCCCTGCCACTGCTTTTGCTCCAATCTGTACCCTGTCCAGGGGCCCCTTCACCTCCCTATCTAGGCTGGCATGCTTATCCTAACAGGCCCCAGGATCTGGGCCACTGGCTCAAACAGGTTCCACCGAGCTGGAGAAATATGGCTGGCATTTCTAGAATCAGTCACTACGCTAATGTACAGATTCTGATCTAATCCTCAGAATATCCAAGTGAGGGAGGTGCTGCTGGCCTATTTTACAGACAAGAAAACCAAGGCTCAGAACTGGGCAACAGTGCCAGTGAGTCCATGTCCCATACGGTACCGCTCTCCTGCCTGACCATCTCCCTGCAGACCCAGAGGCAGCTTCTAGCAACAGGAGACCATGGTTTTTGGGCTCTGAGCATGCCAGGTCTATGAAGGCTCATGAGGCCTGAAGCACAGGCTTAGAAGCAGCCAGATCTGAGTTCGAAACACAGCTCTGCCTCTTGGTTGCTGTGTGCCCTTAGGTGTACCACTTTCCTGTACCAAATGGGAATAATTACCCACACTGCAGGACTGAGCAAGAAATGCGATGGCACATGGAAATTGCCCAGGCTGGTGCCACATACAGAACAGACACCCCGGTGTTCCTCCCTGCTGCTTTTGGCCTTTCTGAAATAGAAGTGGTAGGACTCGAAGTCTTGGAATTTAGGGGTGGAAAATTTCTGTAATCAAGCCAAGGGTGGTAGGCTGTCAGATATGAAAGAATGGTGGTCAAATTTACGCCGGTTGTACAGGAAGGTGAGCTAAGAGAATACGAACGCCCTGGATCCCCAAACAGATTGTCAGACAGCGCGTGTCCACAGGCCGAGCTGCCAGTTTGAGGCCCTCTCCTCGTGACCCAGCAGGATTCTCAAGACAGAAGCTGCATATGATCCGGGCCAGGTGCCCAGGGCAGCTAACGAGACAGTATCCTTTGCTGACCGGGCCCTTGGCAGAGCTTCAGAGGAGACATGGTTGGGCTCTCTCTGAAGTCCCTTCAACCCCACTCACTTCCCGTGGGTTTAATGCCTAATAGTTAAGGGGTCCTTACCCAGGTTCAGGCCAATGCACACCTCAAAGGCCCCTGAAAGAACGGTCAGTATTTTTGTGTACATACACGTGTGCAGTTTGAGGAAGAGCTAGTCCAATGCTTTCATCTGATTCTCAAAAGGCTCCAAGACCTTAATCAGGTTAGGGACCTCTACTACTTTAAGGTTCCAATCCTTACTAAGAGAGAAAGGAAAGGGGGGCAACGCCTGACCCTGTCTGGGAAATGTGTTTTTAAATAAGGAATTCTGGAAGACCAGTGCCCTTCTAAGATTCAAAGGAATGCATGCTAGAGGGAACATTCTAGGCCCTGGCACACACAAACAGAGAAATATCTGGTGCCGAATGGAGCCTATAGTTTCTCCAGTCACCCAGACTGGGCCCATGTAGTATGCACCCTTAGATAGAATTAATTTATTATTTTCTACTTTCTAAAGGAAGGCTCCAGGACACCAGCTTGTCCTCACTGGGCACTCCTTCCTGGGTTGGGGTGGAAAGCCCTAGAATCCTGTGGGACACCACTGAGGGAAGTCTTATCTCCTGAGAGGAGACAAAGGAGCTGGGATCTAACTAGAAGCCAGGTGGATCTACCGGGAGGGAAGACAGTAATGGGAAGATGGCTCTAGATCAGAGGCTGGCCTGGCCTCGTCCTGACCTATGCTCGCCTGGCCCTGGACCTGGGGCTGGGAAAGAGCAGAGTGCACTCCCCGTCACCCCCTCCCCGCCCCCGGGGTAAAACGATCCCCATCCCCACCTCCTAGGGGCCATGCCTAGCACTCAGCAGGCAGAGCCTCAGTGTGGACACGCAGGCAGGTCCTGCGGCTCCACAGCGACACCATGTGGCACCAAAAGAAACTGCAGCAGAGGTAGGTGTAGGATCCAAGCTTCTTTCCTCATGGCACGCAGGCAGAGTGGGTCTTGAGCAATTAAAGGGTTGGGGAGCCTCAAGAAGGAAACTCCAGTTAATGAGGCAGGCAGAGGTTCAAGCAATTGATTGGGGCGGGATGTGGCTATCAGCACAGCTCTGCCCCTCTGTGGGGGGAGGTGGAGGCACTGTGGCTCTGGGAAGGCTGTGAGGGGAGGGGTGGGAAAGGAGGAGGGCTACTAGTCCCTTCAACAGGAGAACTGGGCTAGTCAGGGAGGAGCACTGGACCGGGAGTCAGAGACCAGGGTCTCATCCTGGCCTTACACCTGACCAGCAAGTTACTCAAGGTCAACCATGTCTGGATTAATTTCCTGTGTTCCGGGCTCCACAGACCTCAGAGACAGACATGGAAGGATTGTGCCAGGAGATAAAGACCGTTGGTAAGTTTGCTGGTGTGTGTGAGCATGTGGGGGGATTATTGGGGGGAGAAAAGGAAGGACAAGAAGGGAGATGAGGGGGAGAGAAGAGACAAAGAAAGATATTTAAAATTTATTTCCAAGCACAGCCTTACAAGACTGGTGTCATTTATTCTACTCATTTTATAGGTGAGAAAATTGAAACTCAGAGACAAATTGAGTAACTTGGGCCCAGAGGCAGAGACTAGCACCTGCCTGGACCCCATATTCTCTTGTCTCTTGCAGTTAGATGTCGCCATATGACTGAGTTCTGGCAGAGGCAATGCGGGTAGAAGTGGTATCACCTTCAGGCTTGGTCCTTCAAAATCTCCCTTGGCTGATCCTTTAAGTCACTTCCCTTTGCCAGTCAGCCTGAAAGCTGTGTGCTGACACCACAAGCAAGAAGGTGCTAGGATGTCAGAATCGCCATGGAGAGAAGATCTTCCTGCTCGTCAGGAACACCTATTTTGGACTCTCAGCATGCAGACACTGGTGAAGGCTTTGAGACTTGAGGATTTGTCTATTTCGGCAGGTGGCATTACCCAAACAGTAAACAGAGTGGTGGGATTCAAAATGGACTCCCCGGCCCCTTCCAATTCCTGTATCATCAGGTGCCAAGTGAAGCTGAGAGGGACAGTGAGCTACAGCAGCATGTTTCACAAATCTGTGTGTGTGTGTGTATGTGTGTGTGTATGCACTTGCATGCGCACATACGTGTGCCCATGTGTACTAGAGAATCATGGTGTGAAGAATTTACACTCCTCTCCCACACTGGTCTCATCTTTTTTGGTTCATTCTTGTTAAAAGCCTCATTGGGCAGCTTTTCCTGCCCAGCATGGATGAAGGAAAAGGGGCAGGGCCAGGCCAGACTTTAGACTTCAAATGACCCCACTAAGGGCAGGGGCTTCAAAGGCCATGAAATCACCTTGCCTTCATCCAGGGCCACCCCTACTGTAGGGCTGTAGGTCCACTTTGACCATGGCCTATAGAACAGGGCACCAGTTTTGAAGTCAGAGAAATCTGGGTTTGAGTCTTTTTTTCTCCATCTCCTCCTAGCTGTGAACCTTAGGCGAACTTCTGAACCTCTCTTAGTCCCCATTATCATTACTCTTTACTGGGTCAAGTGTAGAGAGAAAAGGTCTGTGATTTCCAGGGGGTTTGTGATGACTAAATGCCTGGCACATAATGGAGCTTTAGCCAATGTTAGTCCCTGAGCACCCCCTGTCTGAGATGGCCTCCTCACTTCTCTGCCTGAAATTTAAAAAGTCCTTGTATACTGTAGCCTTCCTCAGGCATGAGATCCCCCAAGAAGCCAGGGGGTTCCTGGGAGGGCATAGTTTATCAGCAGAGCCTGGCAGAACATGCACAGAGGAAGTAAGTGTTCTAAGGCCAGGCTGTGCCATGGTGGGACGCAGACACAGGGGCTTGGAGCAACCGCTTTGGTTGCTTAGGGGGCAGAAACATGGAAAGAAGGAGGGGAGGCCCTGAGTAGGAGCATGGGGAAGAGAAGCAAGCCGGACCTCCCAGTACATTGCCTCCTGCCCCCTTGCATGGGACACTAAGGACTGCGCCCACCCCACACCCCTCAAGCAAGGTTTCCAATCCCTAAGCAGGACCCCGCCTCCATCATCCCCTACAGAAGTTTGCTTGGACTAATGGCTCCAGGCTGAGGCCCCACCCAGAGGCCACCCACGGCCTCTCAGCCAGGACCCCTGGTCTGGACAGTTACCGTTTCTGCCTGTGAGGATCTGGAAGAATCGTGGGCACTCCACTTCCACAGTCTGTCCCAGAGCAGACGAGGGCCAGCAGCTCATGTTGTCCCAGAGCCCCTCGCAGCCTACCAAGAAGAGCACAAGCATCAGACAAGGATAGAGCATGGACCAAGGGCCATCCCCACCACCCTGTCACCATCCCCACCACCCCTGCCTGCTAGGAGTTCCCAATAGGTCCTGACTACTTGAGATCAGGAACCAATGGTGTCCGATGTGCCTTTTCATCTTTGGGAACTTGGACTCTGCCATCTTCATAGTAAGTGCTCAGTGTTGTAGACAAGGGAGGAAGGCAGGCAGGCAGGCAGGCACATTATCTCATATAAGCCTCACAAGCACAGGTCTGGAATTTTCTAGAGCAGAAGATAGACCATCTCTTGCCCTCAGCTTGTATTAAATGACTTGACGGCAGTGGGCCTCCATTCTGGCTGCAAGTATAACCATCTGGGGAGCTTTAAAAGCATATATAGTCTACGGCCATGCCACCCTGAACAAGGCCAATCCCATCTGATCTTGGAAGCTAAGCAGGGTTAGGCCTGGTTAGTACTTGGACGGGAGACCACCTAGGAAGACCAAGTGCTATAGGTGTTAAAAAATGAAATAAAAAAATAAAGGATTGTAAGCTGACAAGGTCCTTGCAATCTGTGAAGTCAACCAAGTGTTTCCTCACCTAAAAATAATAATAATAATAAAATAATAAAAACATATATAACTGGGTCCTACACTCAGGGATCCTGATTTAATTGGTCTTAGGTGGGGCCCAAGCATGATATTGTGTTAAAGCTTCCCAGGTAATTCTAATGTAATGACAACCCTTGCCCCATGATTCTCAAACTTCAGTTTGCATTGGAAGCATCCAGAAGGCTTGTTGAAACAGATAGCTGGGCCCCACCCGCAGAGTCTCAATGGAGCCTGAAAATTTGTATTTCTAACAAGTTCCCAGGTGGGGCTGATGCTCTTGGTCTGGAACCACGTTTTGAGAGCCACTGTCCCAGCTTTTGGAAGCAGCTACACCAGACTGGTTACTGCATTTGTAAGAGAAATGTTGTTGAGGACATTGCTTCCCAGCTCACTGGGTTTCTTTCACAAGGCCCCTCCCAGAAGGAGAACATGGTCTCAATGCAATGAGAAGCTGAACATGGTGAACAACTACTACATATCTGTCCTTAGAGACACTGAATTTGAGGCTGTTCCCTCTTTGACTTGGCTGCTAGGAAACTCAGAGGCAGACTTGTGGTCTACTTCTTATAACTGAAAGACTTGGAAATGAATCAAAAAGATTACCAGTGTCTTCAATGAAAAACGAGAGGTTGTCTAACCCCAATTTTCTGGGTTATCTGATTCTAGGTTCTCTGGACTTTTTTACTGTCTTTGGGGACTTTTATTGTCTTAGAGCTACTCTGCAACTCTGTAAGTTGTAGATAACTGAGCAATGCAAATGATTCTTGTCCATAGGCATGCAAATGAATTTTGTCCAATTGTATTTCAACTGGACCAAATTGTATTCAGCTGGTTTTGAATCTATTTGTAAATTCATTTTACCATTTTGCTTTATATGTCAGATACTTTGAATTCTCTTATGAACTAGCGGTAACATCTTACCGGTTCTCTCATGAATTAAATATAATACTTGACAAGTATTCACTTTTCATTTGTATGCAAATTATGATTATACTCTCTTTTAAAATTTATCATTTAACATAATCAGCCACCAATTCTTCCAAAGTCGATCCCAGGGGAAGAAACTCAGGGAAATTGCTCCCTGTGACAGGCTTCTGCAGACCCATACCACCTGAGATGACATCGCTGTGGGCCGGTTTGGTGGGGGCCAGAAATAGAGCTGAGGTGACGCTCACAAGATTAGCAGAGTCACCCCTCATCCAGTTTGGGGAACAGAGTACAGACTCCCCACCACAGAGCTCATGACCCCCAGAAAGAGCCAAGACTCTGGAGTCCCACAGGCCTGGGTTCCTGTCTGCCTCACCACCCATCAGTTGCCCTCACCTATGTCTTCTCTTCCAGGGGAAACAAATGCCTTCCTCCTGAGGTTTTGAAGAGGAAGAGATGAACCTTCACATGGTGGGTGCAGGTGAAAGGCAGCTCCCACCTGACCGGTAAGGGAGGTGGTAGGGAATGGAGGAGAGAGATGTGGAGACAGGAGGGCAGGGTTTGGATGTGGCTCCCATGAGGATAGTCAAAGCATCTATGAGGTAAAGGACCAGGTGTCTGTGTCCTTTGAGGAATGTGGGAGATGAGAATATTCCTGAATATTCACCCAACACTGACAGTGAGCCCCAAAATAGGAAGGGCTTAAGCTTATCTCTATCTTGAACTCCCCCAGAGCGCCCAGGCAGGTCCTCCAGACTTCAGCTGTGGACGCTGTTCACCAGACCTGAGCAGGGTATCCTGGAGCTCACAGGCCCCTGGGTGACTCTGGTCTCCCCAGCTGTCCTTGGAATGGTGACAGGTCCTGGGAGGGCCTTTTACAGATGATCCACTGTGTCTCTCTACTCAGAGCTATTCCGACATCTGCAGCCTGGAGGATGAGGCTGGCCCCCTTGTCCTTTTTCCTTCTGCAGAGATCTCCATGCAGCTGCAGGTACCTCGTTTACAGTGCAGTCTCTCTGCCAGCTCAGCCACATCTTTTGTACTGGAAGCAGTGGGGGCCCTTCCAACTGTGGAGAAATTCAGGGGCTTCTTTCCTCACTTTGGGAGAAATGGATTCAGGGCTGGGGCTGACCAGGTCGCCAGGACACTGGCTTAGGGCTCTAGTTCATGACGCTAGACAGCCCATGTCCAGCTGGCCAGACCGATGGGGAGGGTGCCAGGGCATCTGGCAGGCTTCCTGACCTGTGTCATGTCAGGCAAGGCCCATAGGGACACTGGCCTGGTGATGCCAGAAGACAGGGTGGGAGTGGCTGGTGGCTGGTGGCTGGTGGCTGGTGGCTGGTGGCTGGTGGCGAGAGGTGAGGGAGAGAGGGTAGCAGACTTCCCTAATGGTAAGTGGGGTTCCCCTGCCAGCTGATTCACTGCCATGCCCTTCATATCAGCCATGTAGAGAGAAAAGACTGGGGACATCTAAGCCTGTTCTGGACATGCATTAGACATTGTGGAGTCCACAGGGGTTGGGCAGAGTCACTGCCCCAGTACTGAGGAACCCAGGCTCCAAGAGGTGAAGTGACATATGCGGGGTGACAGAGCTGACCCTGGTGGAGCTGAGATCCTACCTGCCAGACTGACCCTTGTTGGCAGCAGACCTGGATGCTAACTCCACACAGTATTGCTCACATCCTGAGCACTGGAAAATGGCCACGCTCCCTCTCAGCCTTGACTTTACTGTCCGGGCATGGAAGGCACAAGAACAGACCCAGGGTGCCCAGTGTGCAAGGAGCACACCCTGGGTGGCGTGCACTTTTAGCTGATATATGGTGGAATACTTTTAATCTTAATAGACAAACATTTTTAAAAAGAATTTTATATGTATTAAAAAGTTAAAGAGCTAGCATATCACATTTGTGATTTTATAGCTACTATTGTTTAGGATGGGGCTTAGTTTTCAAAAAAAGAAAAGTCAGTTGGAGAAAGGGGACTCGTGCACTGTTGGTGGGAATGTAAGCTGGTACAGCCGCTATGGAAAACAGTACTGAGGTTTCTCAAAAAGTTAAAAGTAGAACTATCATATGATCTATCAATTCCACTCCTGGGTATTCATCCAAAGGAAATGAAATCAGTATCTCGAAGAGATATCTGCATCTCCATGTCCATTGCAGCATTATTTACAACAACCACGATATAGAAATAACCTAAATGTCCATCGAAGGAAAATGGATAAAGAAAATTTCAATAATAAAGTATCATTCAGCTTTAAAAAAAGAAGAAAATTTTGCCATTTGTGACAACATGGATGAACCTGGAGGACATTGTGCTAAATGAAATAAGTCAGACCCAGAGAAGACAAATACTACATGTTCTCACTCATACATGGAATCCAAAAAAATTAAAACTCATGGAAGCAGAGAGTAGAATTGTGGTTCCCGGGGCCTAGGGTGGGGGAAATGGGGAGAGGTTGGTCAAAGGAGACAAAGTTGCAGTTATGTGGGATGAATAAGTCTAAAATCTAATACATAGCACGATGAAAAAATTCAATTGTTTGAAAGGAAAAATTATTAAGGATATATGAGTGCAGGGGCTGCGTGGCTGCTGCTGGGGTGGGGGGACTACGTCTGGGGAGCAGGGGTGGTCCGTGTGGCCCCCCGGCTGCTTTCAGGGACCTCCTTTGCTCCAGAGTGTGAGTGGAGGACCTCAGACCCCACTTCCCATCAGGTTCCTGCTCTGAGTTGGGGGAAGGAGGGAGGATATCACGTCCTGCCCTGCCTCCCCCAGGGAGCTCTGGCAGGGAAGGGACAAAGCACCGGACTCGGGTCACTGTGAGAACCTGGTAGTTTTAGGTCCAGAGCAGCAAAGCTCGCCACCTGAGTTAGGGATGAGGACAATTTAATGAGATAAGGGGTGGGGGAGCTTCGTGAACAGAGCCACTGCTACTGAGCCACTAGGGAGGGCTCCTTGCCTCTGGAAAGGCAAGGCTGAAATAAAGATAAATTAGCTGCTTCGTGGGTGAGCAGGGCCCAGGACAGGTGAGGGGCATGCCTCCTACACCTCCGCCATCTTTAATGGGCACCTGTTGCCGCTGACTGCCTGGCTGGAGGGCATGAGATGAAAGGCTGGGGAAGTTTAAGTGAGGAAACAAGAAAAGGCAACATTAGACCACAAATGCCATCTGAGAGAGCAGGGGTGCCTGCTGAGTGACTGTGGCCCGAGTGGACAGCATGGGATACTGGCTTGAGGCAGGTGATATGGTGGAGATAGGGTAAGCTTTGGACCTCAATCTACTGTGGGCCTGCCACTTACCTCTGTGAGCCTCAGTTTCCTCCTCTATAAAATGGGCATAGTAATGTCCCCAGGACTTTAGTGGGAATTAGATGATTTGTGTGTGCAGTGCCGTATTTTCTCATCTATTAACCTTTGCTCCTTTTTTTCCTCCTGGCATTTTTTCCCTTTCTCTGTCCTT